TTTTTTTTTTTTTTTAGTTGGAGTCTCACTCTGTCACCCAGGCTGGAGTGCCAGGGCACACTCACAGCCACTCCAACCGTCCACCTGCTGGACTCCAGTGATCCTTCTGCCTCAGCCTTCCAAGGAGCCGGAATCACAGGCACACGCCACCACGCCTGGCTAATTTTATTTTACTGTAGAGACGAGGTCTCGCCAAGTTGCCCGGGCTGGTCTCAAACCCGCGGGCTCAGGCAACCCTCTTGGCTCGGCCTCCCGAAGTACTGGGACAACAGACTGAGCTACGAGCCTGGCCAGTTTCTCCATTTCTAAGCGGGGCCAGCAGTGCGGCCCACTTCCTCCCAGCCCCGAGAGCAGTGCCCCAAGCAGAAACCAAAGGGACTATAGGCAGGGGCACCTGAGCTAAGTCACAAGAGCTTCAGCCTCAACTGCAGGGTCACGCCACCAGGAAGCCCAGCCAGGCGTAGCCCAAAGCCTGGGTGTGGCTTGCAGGGGACCTGGGTGTAGCCGTGCCTGCCTCGTGGGAATGGGATCCTGGGGCCTTCTAGCGATGGTGTCTGTCCTGGGATGAGTATCCTTTCTCCCCACCCAGGGCTCTCCGAGGCATCCTGGGCAAGGACTCTGGGGTATTAGGCCGAGGCGGGGCAGGGCTGCCCTGGGTCCCCAGCCAAGGGCTCAGGCTCCAGAAATCTGGCTCTGGGCTGGGCGACTTATCACGTTGGCAGGAAAGAAGGCTCCTCCGTGCCGCAGCGACTCACAAAGGCGCCTGACTCTGCGCCAGACTCATTGACATTCCACAGACAGCACCCACGACTCCATGACACTGGCCAGACTGAACGGGCGGCAAGGACGCAGTGGCCGGGACTCAGCAGACAGCGAGGGCTGCCTCTCCACCTCCAGGCTGCTTCCCCCAGCCCTCTGGCCACGCCCCACCTGCCTATTAGCATGCGCAGAAAGCCCCCATTTGCATCCAGACAATGGTCCTCCCCCTGAAATCCGGAGCTGTGGGGGCACCGGGCATTTGTGGGCACAATTGCCCTTTGTGCCCGCTCCAGTGGGCAGGCGGGGGCACGTCTCGGGGGCTCACTGAGATTGGTCGGGCTGAGCCAAATCCCGACGGCATCCGACAAGGCCACAGGGGGTCTCACGCCCAACGGAGCGGGTGCCTGGGCTTGGCCTTGGTGGACAACTCCCAAAGGAGCAGGGAACACCGTCCTCCTGCCCGCCGAGCCACTGTGGTGTCATGCAGTGCAGGTTGCAGGTGGGCCTCCCTGAGCACACTAGGGGCCCACAAGCGCAGAGGGCCAGGGACCGTGTGGCTTACCCCCACCCCGTCACGCGTGGGCCAGGACAGTGTCCTCCTGACAGCTAAGGAGCTGGAACATTCTGGTCAGTCCCAGGTACTGGGAAGAGGTCCCAGAGGGGAGGGATGAGCAGAAGTGACCAGAGAAAGCTCAGGTGCTGGGAAAGGGACCACTGTGACACACACAAGTCTCCACATCACCTGGCAAAGGAGGGCAACGTGTACAACCTGCCCCCTTCTGCCAGGCACAGGTCCCGGTCACTCAGCCTGATCAGGCAGCACTGGGCTTCCAACAGCCCCAAGTCCAGAGCAGCACTGTCCAGCCACCAATGAGACTGGCCCAAGTAGGGCCCTCCCACGGAGCCAGGAAGATGGCCACTGAGGGAGAACCATCAGCGGCTCCTCCAGGACGAGGCAGTGCTGCCCCGAGGCTGAGGCTGTCCTGCAGGGACCTCAGAGGTTTATGTCTTTGAGTCATGGAGGCAGAGAGAGGTGAGACATCAGCAGACCTAGAACCAGCCCAAGACCAATGTCCATGCTGGCAACAGCGGGTGGTCAAGGGGGAAGGGGACTCCTACCCGCCGTGCCCTTAGTCTGGCCTCCCCGTCTCCATCTGGAGGCCAAGAACCCTCCCACGCTCTGGAAGACGAAGTTATTTCACTTGAGACTATGCTGGCATTTCTTCCTGTGGGCCCTTTTAAGACATGTGTCCCCTTCCACCTCAGAAGACCATGCCCTGGGCAGGCGCTTCTGTGGATACTTCTCAGGACCTTCCCAGTGCTCATAAATATCGTCTCAACATCAGAACACAGTCCCCTCTGAGTCAACTTCGGAGGAAGTGACCGGCAGGGCCATAAAAGGGACCTTTGCACCATGTAGCCATAGAAGAGACCTTTGCACCAGGTACTGGGGACAAACGGGCTACAGTGTATATTTTCTCCTGGAAAGATGTGGGCCACTCCCAAGTCCTTGTGGCAGCATGTCCACTTCAAGTGCCCACGCTGCCCCAGGGGAAGAAGCACCAGTTCACTCACATCTGGTTTTGGAGGGCTGCTGGGGGATGCGGCCATAGCCTGGGGAGAAGCAGGGCCCCTCCACCATGACCTCCCCCCTTCTGAGCTCTCCAGGGTTGAGCCATGCCGTGGGCCCCCACTCTCCGTCTATGGTCAGGGAACGTAACGCCCCAGACCTGCACCCACCACAAAGCAGCCCGATTGGTCCCATCTTGCAGAACGTGCCTCCCAAAATCGGTTCCATGGTGGTAGAAACATCACGTGTGATCCCTGCTGAGGGTGGACAGCTAGGAAACCTCCTGCCCCCACCTGGACCTCACTGACACAGCCCAGGAACAGATGGGGGGGCCACGAGGCTGACCCGCTGGGCAAGGGTTACCACGGCTGCCTTCCACGTGTCCGCTCAGCCAGTGGCACGGCTGGGGACGGTGGACTTGAGAGGTGAGAGACATGCAGAAGCCTCAGCCAGGTGCTGCCAGGTTCTACCATGTGGCCTGGAGAACACATGCTCAACCTTCCGGGCCTTCCTCTCTGCATCCGTTCATCAAGAGCCACACTCATGATTTAACCTGGGCAAATCTCTTGACCCTGGGACCGAGGCCACCTAAACCCTCCACGGGTGTGCAGTGCCATCAGCGCGCCCTGCGGTATGTGGCTGCAGGCCAGCCCCCACGGTGTGGTGGTCACAGAGGGAAGCAGATCTGGGTCACTCCTTTGGGTCCCATCGGAGCTCCCCACATGTCACCCGGACCCAGGCACTGCTCCCCTAGGGACAGGGTCCATCCCCACACCCTCACCTCTGGGCTTCCCGGCCAGTGGTTCCAGAGGGGCTGTCCCTGGCCATTTTCCAAGCACGGTGTGTGGGCTCTGTTGGGAGGAGGCTGGGCAACCATCATCAAGAGGACTGCCTCCCCTCAGCAGGGTGGGCAAAGCTGACCCGGCCATCCATCCAGCAGCTCCTTCACAACAAAAGGGTGGTGAGCCTTCTCCTCGGGGAAGACTCTGGGGAAAGTAGCTGGGAAGTTTCCAGAAGCTTCCAGAAGCTCTACCCTCCATCCATTCTCATTGGCAGAGACCCCAAGAAGAAAGCTCACGTGGACTTGTTCAGGCTCCCATAAAAGGCAGCGACTGTGTGTGCTTTGGGGGGCTTGGGAGAAGGCCCCAGAGATGACTGGGTAGCTGGAGAGGTTGGGTGTCCCAGCCCATCCCCACCCACCACACCTGCATCAGGGGCTCCTCACCAGAGCTCTCATAGCCATCCACGGAGAAATGGTCAGGCCTCCGCTCCTCAGGGGGGTCGCACGTGATCTGTGGGACTGTGAGTGTCTTCTCTCCAGGACTCACCCCATTGTCTTTGTCCAGCTTGAACTTTTTTTTCTTCACCTAAAAAACCAAGCAATACACTGGCGGGTCCTTGACATCACCTGCCAGGCTCCCTGCTGGTCCCAGAGCATCCCCCACAGCCCCGCAGTATGTACCGTGCCAGGGACCTGGGCCAAGTCCAACACCCCACAACAGAGAGGGGGCAGAGGCAGTGTTGCTAGCATGGTGGGAGGGGGCTCACAGCCTCACGGGGACAGGGAGACAGGACACCAGGAAACACAAGCACACAAGATGGTGCCAGGGCTGGTGGAGAGTGATAGCACATGGGGACAGACTAGAGGCCGGGGGGGCCCTCTGAGGAGGTCCCCTGGGAGAATGTCCTGGCAGAGGAAAGGACAGGCACAAAGGCTCCAGTGGCTGGAAACCAGGAAGGCCAGGTCTTCCCGCAGTTGTGGGTGGGGGCCAGGAGGGAAACCACATGAGGGTCAACACCAGGGTCGTTCTCTCCCCAGCCCTGTCACAGGAAGGCTCCTGCCCAAACCCCCCGGCCTTGGCCTCCAACTCTTCCTCCTGAGCCACCATGCTGCCTCTGTCCCCCACCGCCCGCCATGTCTGGCATGGAAAGCCCAACACCAGGGCCCTCTCAAGGTCTTCTCTTTGGCCCACCCCACTCCAGGGGCACTGTTGCTGGCCTGGCCACAGCCTGAGCCTGGAGGAGCCAGTCCCACATGCCCCCAAGCCTGGGAACACGGGGATGGCAGGGACCCAACACAGGGCATGGACCCCCAGCACCCAGGATGATGTGGACACCCCAGCTGAAACACCTAGCCAGATACCCACAAAGTCCCAGCCATGTGCGGTGGCCCCCACAGCCTCCCCACCTGCCAACAACCAGGCCCTGCCCGCACTTACCATGACTGACTTCTTGGGCTTGGGGCTGGGGGACAGCAGAGCATGGCCCCGGGAGGGCTTCCGGATGTAAATTTTCCAGGTGGCGGAGTCAGGGTTCTCAGCAGCATAGCACCGCCATGCAGTCTGCGATTGGGCAGGAGGAGAGGCTGTCACCTGCCCAGCGGAGCCCTTGTGGAAGCCACAGCCTGGCTCCTCAGGGCCTGGCCCTTCCCCTCTGGGTGGCAGGGTCTGGGGACTCAGGGTCACAGGCTACGGGGTCATAGGCCGTTGCCTACAGGCCGACGGTCACCCGCAGCTGGGAAGCCACAAAGGCTTCCGCCTGTAAAGCCTAACCTGTCTCCTGCCACCTCCATCCACCCAGTGTCCTCCCCACCCTGGGACAAGCCCCAGATAGGCAGAGATGCATCCATCGGGCACCTCGCCTGCCACCAAGGCATGTGTAGTGTGTGCAGGAACTGGGCGCGGGGGCCACCCAGTGAGGATGGGCTGCAGGCAAAGGGCCGCCTGGGGCCAGTGTGGGCATTGGGCAGGGGCAGTAAGCGGTGGGAAGGGACAGGGTCCCCGGGCCTGGGGGGAGGCGAGACTGAGTCCCTCCCAGAGCCCACTCTGTAGTTCGGGGAGCCTTTGACGGCATGCGGGTGAAGCTCTAAGCTCATGTTCCAGAGAGACCCCACGGCAGCCACCACACAGGCTGCCTGGAGGAGGTCACACCATCAGCAAAGGCCTTGAGGAGGGTCCACGCACTGTGCAGGCAGGAATGGGGTGAGGGGGGTCCAGAGCCTCTTATGAGGCCACAACTCGGCTGCCTTGTCGTCACCAACCCCACGAGCCTGAGAGAAAGGGGCATGCGGATAAGGTGCCCCCATGCCTGTGGGCTCTTGGAGGACAGCCCCGGGTAGACACGGCAATGCTCACTCCCACACCGGTGACATCCAGGGGAGACCTCACGCCCAGCCTTTCCGAGGCTCTGTCTCCCACACACATGTTGGTTCTCCCATGCCCCCCGCCCCAGTGCGCCTGTCCTGCGGGCTAGCCCCACCTCCCTCTGTGAGCGTGGCTTCCATGGGAGCCCCTTGCGCACAGGATGTGTGGTTCTTGGGGCACGGCGTCCAGGCTCTGCCAGGGACTCCCACGTGCTCCCCTGCACAGGCAGCCTGCCTGCCCATGGCGGGACCGGGTAGCTTTTATGGGCCTGATTTACAGTCTCCCTGAGAGGAGAAGCTGGGACCATAAAGCCAGGCTGGGGGCGGGAACGCACAGCCCGGCCCTCGCTCTAATCCTTCCCGCCCAGGCAGAAGTTGGTTCTGGAAGGGCTTCAGAGGAACGAGGCGGAGACCCCGGCCGAGCTGGGAGCCTGGGCAAGACAGAGCCACGGCCCCTGACAGCGGGGCCCTGCCTGGGGCAGGGAGCTCAGAGGCCGAGCTGCAGGCGGGAGCCCAGACAGCCCACTCAGGCCGCTCACCCTCCCGGGGTGGGGGAGCAGCCAGAGGGGCCCAGGCTGTGCACCCTGGCTGCTGTGCCGGGCAGAAGGCCTGTCCGTGGCTGGAACTGGCCACCCAACCCTCACCTGGCCATGCCTCAGGGTAGCCCGGCCCCGCCACAGCCAGCCACGGAGGCCCCGGGCATAACTGCCCAATATTCTTGTGCCCGAGGTTCTGCTCATGTTACAGGGACAGCCTGGTCCTGGTGTGCTCTGGGGAGCCTGGGGCCCAGAACCAGAGCCCTGCCCACCTCCAGAACCTTCCTTCCCCATTGTCCTGGGCTCTGCCTCTCCCACCCCAGCCTTGTGAGGTGGCGGCCCGTGCTGTCCCTTCACCGGTCCTTGCCTGCTGTCACCAGGGAGCCCGAGGGTCGCTGAGCTGGGAGCGGTGACTGAGGCTGCAGGGGCCGGCCCTGTCTCCCTGGGGAGATGGCCGCCTGGGGCCCCCATCCTTCCCCTCCCAGACTCCACCCCGGGGTGGGCACAGGGGCGGCACCGGGAGAAGAGGGGTGAGTGAGGGGGCCTCGGAGCCAGTCATGTGCCGTCCTGGAGTTGCCACGGTCACGCCGTCCCCAGCCCACAGAAGCAGAGACTCCCCCGAGCAGAGCGGGCTCCACGGGCCGGCCAGGCTGACGCAGCAGCCAAGGGTGGTTCTGACAGTCGACCACGAGGGCTAGACATGACCGCACCCGCGCTTGCGGGGGCCACACCTGGATGAGCGAAGCTGCCGCGGGGATCTGCCGGTTGAAGTGCTTCTGCCGCTGCTTCTGCTGCACCTTCAGGGCAAACCCTGAGCCGAGAATCCCCTGGAAAGGAAGGCACGGGAGGCTCACGTCTGCATAGGTGGCCTCCAGGTGGGGCCCGGCCTGCAAGACGTGGGTGCCGGGCCACCCTTGCGGAAGCCCGGGCCCAGGGGGTCCTGAAGGCCCCACCCGTGAGGCTGGCACCTCCGGCCCGGCCTTCCTAGCCCCACAAGGGGGGCCAAACTTACACCCCAGGCCCCCTCCAGCAGGGAGCCAGGTCCCAGAAGGGACCCAGGACTCTCCCACCCATTCCCAAGGACCGATAGAGGCCGGGTGGGCTGGCCTCGCAGCGTGTGTGTGCCTTGCTGGAATGGGGGCTGGGAGTCCCTGAGGCCGGCCTCCGTCAGGGAGGACTGCTGCCTCCCAGGAGGATAGATGGCAGATGGCTGCAGAGGACTCCTTCAGCAGTGAAGGAATTCCCCGTTCACAGAAGGAACCACGCCACACACACGTACATGGGTGTCGCATACAAATATGCGGCACACATGCCTACTTGACACACGTACAGGGATATGACAGATACAGACAGTAACACACATCTGTCTACAAGCATGTACAAAGACTTGTACAACACACACACACAACTCAGCAATACATGCATATAGGCATGTGACACACAGACACGTTGGCACATGCAGATACAAACACACTATATACACGTATGATGCATGGTACGCATGCTCTGGAAATACACGTAATACAGAGCACCTGTACACACGACACCCACACGCCAGGCACACACACCACATGGAGACACTCTGCTCTCACAGCTGTGGTTTCTGGAGGAGCCATGGGACGCAGCCCCTCTGGCCACAGCACAGGGCCACCCGCTCCCTGCTCTGGGTTCACAGATTCTGTGGCCTCTGCAGGACGTGGCAGCCGCCTGGGCCCTCCCCGCCCCGGGGCCGAACAAGCAGGCCTGCGCCCCGCTGCTTCGATGGAAAGGCCCACCAGGCCTGGCGACAGGGCAGGGCCACGTCCGGGGGCAGGTGGGCAGGCGGGCTCTGGGGTGTGGCCCTTCTGCAATGTAAGTGCCACCTCGGCTTGGCACGAGCTGCCTGTCCGAAGGGCCTGTCCCCGGGAGGGATGTGCGGCCGCCCCTCAGGGCCTTGGCTGCTGGGAGCAGCGGGGACGCCCCGTGGAACACCTACCGCCGGGAGAGCAAAGAAGGAGATGGCGAAGACGGAGAAGCAGGAAGCGATGGTCTTCCCCACCCACGTCTGGGGCACCTTGTCCCCATAGCCGATGGTGGTGACGGTGACCTGCAGGAGGGAGGGAAGGCAGGCAGCTGCTGACGGGCCGGGGCCGCAGGAGGGCCACGTGCCCGGCCCCAACCGCCACCCTGACCCGCAGAGAGACCAGCGAGAGACCCCGACTCCCAGGACCCCCTCCATGCCTCCACAGGAGCCCTGGGAGCAGAGTGGCAGGCCAGTGTGTGTCTCCCAGATGCGGTGCCACCCACGACGCACAGTCCCCGGGCATGGCAAAGGAGCTCGGTGCCCGCGAACGGCCAGGTGCGCCGTGCCGGACGCCCACCCACGCCAGGCCAGGCACGGCGGCCCCAGCCACCCGCCTTCCCCGCCCCAGGGAGCTTCTGGGCCACCGACGTTGCTGTTCACCGGCCCCCAGGAGGCCGGGAGCTCCCCCTGAGGCCGGTCGACAAAGAGCTGGGGCTGATGACACGCCACTTCCTGACGCCACCCCAGGGCACCAGATGTTCTCATCTTTCCTCTTTTCTGAGAGCAGGAGACCCAGCACGAGCCTTCTTCTTGGTGGGGGAGCCATCCGGCTGGGGCATGTGTGGCATACTAGGCGCGAGCCCCCACGCCTCCTGCTGACATCTGAGGTTGGTCCTCCACAGGGCGGGGTGGGGGGGCTTCGGCCTGAGCCCGGCAATGATGTCCTGAAGGACATGAGAGCCCACCCTGGCTGGGCCTGCACCGTGTGGCCATCTGCTGGGGTCCCCTGGGGCCAGCTCTAAGACTGGCCAGGGGATCCAGGGTGCACAGCTCATCCTGTGGCCCCGTGTCCTTATGCCAGCCATGCCCGGATGGCAGGTACAGGGCCCAGGCTGTCTCTGCAGCTGTGGGAGGCCCTGGGGCCCTGGAGCCCTGGCTCTGGGCACCCCACTTGGGAGAGGCTGGCATCTGCACCTCTGGGGTCTCCAGTCAAGGCCAAATGACAAGTGCCTCTTGGTGGCCCAGGAAGGCACAGAGGCCACTATCTGATCCTCACCCTACAGCCCACTGCAGATGCTGGAGCGCCTAGGACTGGGCCACTTAACAGACTCTCATGGAAGGCAGGACCATCGGCCCGCCCACCCTGGAAGACCTGGGAACTTGGGCTGCCTGGACCCTCCAGAGCCAACAGGGATGCACACACATACATGGACAGACGCGGGTGCACGTGGCCGCCCAGAGTCAGCCCAGGCAGGAGGCAAGGAGGCTCGGACCGCAGGGAGGACGGATGTGGGAAGCTGGGTGGTCCCAACAAGCACGTGAACGTGTTGCAGGGTGCTGGGTGAATGTCAGCTCAGTTGATCAGGCGACGTGACTGGGGGCGAGGGGCCCCTGGGGAGTTGCAGCCCATCGCTGGCTGGGTGTCCCCCAGAGGGCCTGCACCCAGGCACACAGGAGTGGGGTCATCACCCAGGCCGTGATGCTGGCAGGGCATCTGAGACCACACACCATGCCCTGGGGGCGGCTCCCACCTGGGACAGCTCAGCCCTGAGGGGCTTGCCCATTCCAAGATATTTATGGAGTCTATAGCAAGTCAGGCACACAGCAGGCAGCCCAGAACCGGCCCAGAGGCCCCGAGAGAGCAGGGAGCCCTGGTGCGCCCCAGCCTCCAGCTCTGGGGGCTCCTGCAGCCTGGACAGTCGAGAGAGGCCAGGCTCCAGAACTTCTGCCTGGCTCAGATGTCTCAGGAGGACAGTCGCACCCCTCCCGTGTGAACATGCGGCTCCTGCTTTTATCCAGCGATCTCCTATGCATTCCTCAAAACCCTGCTGGTGACCTGGGAGCCTTCACGGATGCCAAGGCTGCCACCCCTCCCCTCCTGGTCCCACCACTGCTCTGCAGACGGGCCTGTGGCCGCACTGGCGCTCCAGCGGGCACGCACGACCCAGGGCAGGACTGAGTCCTGCTTGTCTGGACGTCCCCCTCGGCATAGGAGTGTTGGGTCAGGAGGACAAGATGGGACAGAGGGGAGGGGGAGGGGTGGGGGTCGAGGAGGAGAAGGGGAGAAGCGACAGAGGGGCTCGGCCCTGGGATGGGCATGGAACCTGATCTCCTGGGACCACCACTGCACACTGGCGGTCTGCCCGGGGCTGGGTGCAGGGCCGGCGGCACCCACTGTGGGGTTGGGGGGAGGCAGGAGACAGTGGTGGACACTGTCCCAAGAGGCCCACAGCGGCCGCTGTCAGGACGGGGCAGAGGCTTCCCAGAGACTTGCAGAAATGGATCTTTTTCTGCCGATGATATCGACATATTTTTTTGTTCTGGAAAGTTTAACAGCTTCTCAGCGTTTTTTTTAACGCCAACCTACGGTAGGTCTTTTAATAAGCGAGGATGGGGTCGTTTTTAAGCTCCTTATTCTTATGACCCACACAAAACCCCTCTGCTCAGAGCGTCCAGGGGTCCTGAGACCCACAGTTTGCCTGGCTGCCTCGAAGCGGGGCGGGGCTCAGGGGCAGGGCCTGGGGGGACAGGACGGGGCACTCGCACCGCGGGCGCCACCGGTGAGGGGCCCCAGCAAAACCCTCGTCCAGACGAGCAACACACGCTGGCGTATTAAACGTCGCTTTACCAACAGCAATCACGTAAGATGATTTTGACATATTTATAGTTATTCGTGATTAAATAAAAGATATCTTGATGTATTTAAAAAATGTAAGTTATTCAAAAGGCCCACAATGAAGGGAGACGAGGGGGAGGAGTGGAGGGCAGGGCCAGCCCAGAGAGGCCCGGAGGCAGGGGAGAGCGGACAGGAAAGCACAGCCGCCCCCAGTCTGCCCCCGGCCAGCAGGAGCCGGGCGGGTGTCTGGGGGTCTGGGGCCCTACTCTGGACGACCAGAGTGGGGGTGGAGGGCTAAGTCGAGGGGTGGCCCTGGGGCAGTGCCCGGCCAGGGAGGGCACACATGAAGCCCGCATGGCCGCAGACCCTCCTCATCAAGTTAACGAGGAAACTGCCCCTCCCCGCAGAGCTGTTTGTTTTTCCTGAACTCACAGACCCAGGCAGCTCGGGAACGGGCCGTTTCATGGTGGCTGTGCTGGGACCGTCCCTGATGGTAGCCATCTAGAAGGCAGGCCTGCACGAGGCCTGCACGAGAAGTCACGCCTGTGCTGGGGCCTGTGTGTGGGCTCACGTGTCGTGAGATGGGAGGGTCGAGAGACGCTTCGTGCCCCTCCCCGTGTGTCCTGAGAGGCTGGCGCTGGTATTACACTATTCCCTCCTTTTTGAAGAAGCCCCCTCGAGGCTGGCCTCCAAGGGAGGATAACAGAGGCTGCCCAGAAATCCCAGCTCCAGCTGTGCCCCACAGCCCTGACTCTTGGAGCTCACTGGCTCCCTCTAGGGAAGAGGGGTCAGGAAGGGGTGGCCGGGGAAGAAGCCAGGGGCAGAGGGAGGCTGCAGGATGGGAGGCAGAACTGTCTCCGAGGCAGAGAAGGGCAGGGCACGGCGGGGCTGCCCGACCCTGGATCCCGGAGGGGAGCCACAGGGCGATGGGGGGCGATGGGGACCGACGTGGTCCCGAGGGTGGTGGCCACAAGCCAGGGTCCTGCAGACTCTCCCGGGACAAAAGCAAGCACAGCCCAAACAAACCCACTTCCTTTCAGCAGAAAAAGCGAAGAAGCCCAAGTCCACGTGGGCCGGGCTCCTCGCGCCTTGCATGCCTCTCCTCACGAAGCCCTGGGGCCCTGGCCCGGCGGATGCCACGTCCTGGCCCTGGGGTGGCAGAGGCCAGCCGGGTTCCCAGGGAGATGGGATACCAAACACTACTCAAACCGAGAAGGGGCATGCCCGTGCCCTTAGGCTCTACCGGGTGGGTCAGGACCACTCGTTCCCTTGCCTGGAACAAAGCCGCGAGCCCCACACATGGGCTGATGGGGAGACCTTGTGCACATGGGTATGGCCGCCTGGGGCACAGACTCGGCCACTGGGCATGCGCGGCCGGGCTCCAGGTGCTGCATGCAGGAGGCCCAAGGTCTCAGCTCAAAAGTCACTTCCCCAGGGACCTCGTCGCTCTCAGGGCAGAGGCCGACCTCCAGGACTCCCTGCAGGGTCTCCCTGGTGGCTCCGCCCGTGGCCATCCATCAGCCACCACGTGGCAGCCACGGCTCACTTCATGCTTCCTCCCCGGCCTCCCTTCCCATCATGACTCTGAGCGAGCAAGACCAGGGCTGCCCAAACCCCTGTCAGTGACCGGCAGAGAACCGCCAGCAGCGTGCCTGGCCATGGGCCCACGAGAGGAGGAGGCCTGGCCTTGCCGCTCCAGAAGTGTCTCTGCGGCAAAAGGGCAGTGACCGCCTCCAGTGCCGAGGTCCACACAGTGGCTCTCTCGGCGAGCCCTGCGTCAACCCTAGGAGCCACGCTGCTCCCGTTTTGCAGACGGAGAAATAAAGGCAGACTGCCCCGGGCCCTGCCCTGGCCCCAAGGCCTGCTCGGCCATGCAGCTGCCCCCACTCTCAGGAGCCTGGATTTCCATTAAGAAACCCCCACGCGTTGGCCTGGGGCAGTCGATACAGGAAGACAGACCTGCCTGGCAAACTCCTGTTCTTCCTTCAAAACCCAGCTGTGAAGCCCCTTCTTGGGGTCTGGCTTCCCGTCTCCACCATGCTGCCCGGGAGAGCAAACCATCGGGGGCCCGACGCGCCACTGCTCACCAACGGCCCCCGGTGCACACTCAGAAACAGCGGGCGCTGGAGTCTAGGTGCAGGAGAACACAGAGGCCACAGTCACGCATACCACGAGGGGCTGCCCCTCTGGGGGGATGGGTGGGACGCTGGCAGGGGACGGGCAGGACGCCCTCAGGACCGGCAGGACTGAGGCACGGCCAGACCATGGCAGCCACAACCTTTCCGTGGGAACCAGCCTGCGTGGCCCTGCCAGCGGCTTTGGGAAGGCCGGGAGCCAAGGCTGGTGTTGTCCTGCAAAGATTCCCGGCCTCGTGACTGCGCCCTGGCCGGGTGTGCCTGGTACCCCAGGCTTCCTGTGGGCTCACTGACTCAACTCTCCGACAAGCCACAGCAGCAGGTCCGTATCTTACACTCATTTCACAGATGGGCCCAGAGGGGTCGGGTCGCCTGCCCGGGGTCACGCAGCCAGCCAGTGGCGGAGATGGCATGTGGTCGCTGCTCTGTGCACAGCCCCACACTCCTGCCTGCTGCCTGAGCCCTCTCATCCTGTTTCTCCAGGTTTAATGAGGTTGACTCTGTTCCTTTTCCCTCGAACTGAAGAGTCACCAGAAAGTTCTGTCACCTGAGACTTCTGCGAGCCCACCCTTGCTGACATGAGCCGGAATTCACACCCTGCCAGAGGAAGTCAATCTTCCACACTACCCTCACGTCCACTAAGAAATCCTCCACACGCTGACCTGGGGCAGTTGGTACAGGAAGATGGGCCTGCCTTGCAAACTCCTATTCATCCTTCAAAACCCTCCTTGGGGAGAGCTCCCACGCTTTGCACAGGGCTCCAGGCGGAAGAAGAGCCCTGGTAGGGGTCGGGGGGCGCGTGTGCAGGGGAGGGCGCCTGGACTTGCCAAACCTTGGCCTGTAGGTGCTTGGCTTCCCTAACTTCAAAGCCGGTCCTGACACGGCCCCTCCCCTGGACAGCACCAACAGGGCTTGCATGGCAGGCCCTCCGCAGCCCCAGCCCTCTCCGGCCTCGCTCCACTGGGACGGTGGAACTTTCTGGAGTCTCCAGGTGAGCAGAGCCCGAACAGCAGGCAGGCAGGCAGGCAGGCTGTTTTAAAAGGTGGTGGAGACGTAGGGATGGGATTCCAGCTCTTTTACTCAAAGTTCTAAATTTAGACGCGGAGGGGTAAACAGCCCAGCCGCCTCCTGCTTTCAGAGACCCCCGGGCGCTGAACAGAGGAGCCCGTGTTTGCAAAACCTGCCCCTCCCTCCGCCCGCACTTCAACACAAACAAACGCATTTTGTTCCAAAGGCAAAGAAAAAAGTCTCCGATCCGCCCCAAACGGCTGGGCAGCCGGCTTGGGCGCCACGCTTGGGGGATCAGGGCGACCTCACATCCAAGCTGGGCAGCCCCCACCCCGCGGAGGCGAGGGAGACGGGAGGGGACGCCCGGTCACGAGCGGGCACTGTCACTCGACAGCTGTGGAAACTGCGGCCCACCGAGGGGAGGGGTCATCCCAGGAAGTCCCCCCAAGACGCCCACTGCCCCGGGCTGGACTGCATCTCCCCCAGATTCACACCCGCCAGGCCCCTCGGATCTTATTTGGAAACAGGGTCTTTGAAGATCTGATTAGAGATGTGAAGGTGACATCAACCAGTACCTCCCGGGTGGGCCACAGATCAGTGACAAACGTCCTTATCAGCCACGGGAGAGAGACCAGGCGTGGTGGCGTGCCTGTGTTCCCAGCTTCTCAGGAGGCTGAGGTGGGAGGCTCGCTCGAGGCCAGGAGTTCGAGGCTGCAGTGAGCTGCGATCGTGCCACCACGCTCCAGCCTGGGTGACAGAGCGAGACCCAGTCTCTTCAAAAAAATTAAAAGCGAGACAGGCCCAGGCGGAGAGAAGCAACCACAAGATGAGGACCCCTGGGGTTCCCCGCAGTTGGAAGGAGCTTCCCTTCGAAGCCGTCGGAGGGAGCGCAGCCCACCAACACCTTCAGCTCAGACTTCGGGCTCCGGGACTGTGATAAGTTTCTGTTGTTTTAGGCTGACCAGTCTGTAGGACTTCATTGTGGCAGCCCCGGCCTTATTTTGGGGGTGCACCTGAACGTCCACAGAGTCCAGGCGAGGTCTAGGGCAGACGCAGCATGGGGGGTCGGGCGGCCCGGCCTCCAGGAAGCCGACCCCGCCCTGTAAGGGCCCTGTGGCAGTCCCATCGTCGAGCGGACTACCCCGCCATCATCTGTCTGTCCCAAGCAGGGCAGGGAGCTATGCTCACTCCTCTGGGGGGGGCCACGATGCCAGGACAAAGGCGCCAAGAGAAAACAACTGCTCGGGGCGCAGTTGCGAGTTGGCAGCCAGGCTTGCGAGCCCCCATCTGGGCTGTCCCGTCTTGCATTTCTCAAGTTCTGTTTGTCCGAGAAGCGCCAGGAACGCAGCCCATAACTCAAGCCTCAGGGGCCGCTC